TTGAAAACATCCAACGAGGAATGCCATTCCCTCACTTCCTCACCTTCAATTTCATGCATTCGTTTGGTAGGAAAATGTAGAAACTTCGGCATTCAAAAGTACCAGACTACATCGATAAACCATGCGTTACATCCGTTCACGGAAACATCCAAGTCATTTTTTTCGCTTTTGTTTGAGTAAGACCTACACACGCATGAAATCCAGGTAGGTTCCATGAACACTGCGATAAAGCAGCGTTCATACTTTGCGACATCGGCGACCGCGCGATGGCCGATACCGCCTACCGATTAAATACGTATTGATCTTGCAGCTCGAGGAATGGACGATCGCTTGGTTTACGCTCTACAGTACAATGGGTACATATTGACAAATTGCAGAAGTATCACGAAAAGAGAGCCCAAATTGCTAACTCCAGACACTGCTCCAGGTTTCTAATAGCATTCTTCTGGGCGCAATTCGGCTGGTGGGGGCAACAAGTGGTATACAGGGAACTCTGTACAAGCCACATTGTGAATACCTGGAAATTGTCGTAACCAAAGTGACCCATCTGTACCATTCAGCAGCTTCACCAGAGATTACAAGTCTCACCATTCAGCAGCTTCACCAGAGATTACAAGTCTCACCAAAAAGAGACCTTTTAGTTAACATGAACTAGCAAAATGAACTAAAGAAACGGCAAATTGCCCCTCCCAAACCGAATTGTGCCTAGTTTGCCTAGAAAATTGGAGAATTCCACATATAAGCGGCGTATATTCATCAAGTGTCTGGGCCCACTTTGGGAGCAGCCCTAAGGACTCAATCTGCCGAGATAAATTAGCTTGTGCTAAGCAGAAGTGCCGCATTGACACGCGAGCATTGTCGCATTAATTTTCGCACTTCATTCGACCTCATCTCACCAACACCTACAAACTAAGGTCAAAACGGAAAGTGTAGAAAAGAGTCTTAAATTACTCACCGAGGCTTTGTCCATTCGGCCGAAATTCTCCATATGCACACTGACGAGTCGATTCTCGTACGATAGCTCAACATCATCGTGCTCATCTACACCTAGAAAGAATCATATTCGCTCAACAGCACTTTCTACATCAGTCTCGATGGTGGGGTGGTGTGTTAACAGGGGGGAGGGGGAGGAGATGGAGCCAGGAGTGAAGTACAGCCTTGGGTGGAACACCTTGTAGGAATCCCTAACTGGCTAGCCGTTTCAACAACGTTTCTTTTGTTTCGCCCACACCAGAGCGATCTTTGCAAAAATATTTTGCAAAATTTCATAACCATTACTACCAAAGAGGGACACCCTAAGAAGGAAAAAAAGTCGCTGATCCTCATGGTTAGATATTTTTCTCAGTCGTTCACTCATATTCGTGTGGGGGAGGTGCTCGCAGGGGTCCACTTGGCGTGGCTGCGCCCCTTCCCTAGCCTACGGTTCAGACCTACAGCGCAGACGAAGCTGCTGAGGGATAGTAGTGCTGAGAAACAGGTCCACTAAGTCTGAGCGTTGGTGAGAGCAAGGGACATGAGGCGGTGCCTAGTAGTCCCCTGCCTCCTCCCCCCCCCCCATCCCACCTCCTCGCCTTCCCTCAATTTTTCATTACCGCTTTTCCTCCACCAGTAACAAGAAGAGAGGGCAGTCGGGACAAGGGCACAGTTGTCTCCTTTGCGTTCTCTCAGCGATAAAGTGCTCGCCCTGGGACTTCTCTCGTGTACCCCAAACTCAGGAAGCAAAAACAGGCAGAAAAGGGGGCGGTATGGTGCCGCCCATTGTCCCCTCCCAATTACCTCACCCGACCTTGACTTTACCTGCAATGAAATTCAAATGTACTCACCATTTTCCACACCATCTGCATCTCCAGCCCTAGGAGTGGGGGATCCGACATCTGAACAAGATTTTCATCAGAAAATCACCATGAGGCAGGAAGTTCCAGCAAATGGGAAAAAATAAGAAACAAAATAATCGACAGAAAAGGGAAGAGTGCATTACTTAGATCATCGTGTCTTCCTACAGAGTACGCCACAACACTTGCATGATCCAACTTGCCCGGCATATCGGCAATTTTCTCTCTTACTGCTTTTCGCCTGAAAATGCAATTTTGTTGGAAGGAAACCATCAATGTTGAAAGCACATTCCACGCTTTATCCTATGGGCGGAGCATCTTGGATCCTCACTGATACCCCACTCAAGCGGGTTCGACGTTGAGGATCTCCGGCAAGGCGAGGTTTTTGGTAGTTCCGGTTCCGCTTGACATTCTCGGCATTCAGGCTTCAAGGGCTATATTATCCGCCTCTTTCCCAATCCCTCCCCACACCCGAACCCGATGGCAGTTTTTGAGGGGGGGGGCAATGGTTGGGAGTTTAGGAATTCTCGGAAAAACTGCGGAAAAAAGAAACCGTAGGTAGCATGGGTTGAAGTGAGGGGTCTTACCAGCGGTGCAAATTTCGAGGGGGAAGAGGGTCGGTATTTCCGAAAAACTCCCCCCCCTCAAAAAAAAAAGCAACACGTTCGTGGTCGCCTCGTTACAAATCGCTAATTCCATAGAGAGTGGGCGACACCGATAGAAAACAGGCGCAAGGTCACAGTGACTTGTCGCGCTTGTGAGCAGCGTGGAATTACGCCTTGCGATACTATTGGAATTCTGAAACATTTAAATAAGACGATCCAGTTCTGATAACTTAGGGAACCATCGGTTTCAGAAAGATGCTCAAATATCATGGAAAGGCTAAACTTGACACAAATATGTGTTCCGAAACCCAACAAAATCGATCAACTGGATGACGTCAAATAACAATACTTTTCAGAGGAAACGAAGTAAAAGCTCAGTTCTGTTTGGTGGGGGCATCAAAATGGTACTCAGCGAGACCTCGTATAGGCTAGCTTGTCAAAACCCTTAAGTGATTCCTCGTGACTAATAGGCTCGCTGAACCATATTAGCAAGAAGTTCACGCTGAGGTTTAACAGGTTCACCGAAGTATCGACGTGTCATTATAACATGACGAGAACGATAATTTAAGATTGCAATAGAGGAAGAAATCCTTCGCCCATAAGCCGGCAGCGCCCGCCGAACTACACTTACCTGGCTCGTTGCTCTGACTTGGTCATCTTCTCCTTCTTGTAGAGCTCTGGGTTTTCCAGCGTACGACGTTTCGCTCTAAACAAAAACACTATTGAAGCTGGAATTCTATAACTCAAGAATGACCCAGGAAAGCGTGCAGTAACTGACTGGCTGAGATGTGTAGCAAACTGGATGAGACGGTGTGACAGAACAGAAGCTGTAACACGAGGAAACAACGGTTCATGACGCGGCGACAGGCGGCACATCTGCAAGAGGATCAGATCAAATGGACCAGAACACGGCTCTGAAAGACTTTGAAATAAGATATCTCTGTCTCCGCCTATCCGAACAACGCGGATTGTGCCTTCAAGTGCAACTATAACCACATATCAAATGAAAAATACCCCAGTTTCGGTAGCGTGCAGACTTCCTGATGACACGCGTCGATGCGCTATGACGCGAAGTCTGAACTCCGCCTTCTACTTACCCCTTTTGGTGGGTCGATCCCATTCGCAATAATGTCCCTCATTCGAACTAGCATGAGCTCGTGACGACTTGCAGCATCCACACACGGCAACGTGGCGGCGCATGTACGTGGTCGTGCAAATTCCCTTGAAGGGGAATCCTTTGTCGCCCTGAAGGTTCAGGCAGTTAAGTAAATGTCATAAAACTGCGTCCACTGAGTTCATGAAAAGTAATAAGATAAGGCAATATTACTCACACTGACAGTTTTCTATTGTCTCGTGGTGGCAGTTGGGCGGCATTTTCCTTGTTCTCCACTTCGGCTCGCTTTATCACACAAAACTTTCCCACCACTGGGTCGAAATTGTCCGACACACCGTCTGACGTGATGAACACGATGTCGCCTAGAAATCTTTGGAGTAAGTAAACGAGAAGGAAGAAAAAAAATGCGATTATTCAATTCCGTCAGAAGCGAGCAAAATTCACAAAAATAAGAGTCAAAGAGCAGCAAGTCAGAGTAGTGTACTGGTCCCCCTCCCAATGGGATCAGGCACGACAGGCCTCTGCTCTAGGAAGCAATTTTCTCTTGGTTTCAACGGCAGGAAGCTCCTCCTGAACAAACCATTCGTAGCGTTTCACAGCACAGATCTTTGCACAGATCTGGTAGGAGCATACCCGAGTTGAAACACATTCCGCAATAAGCAAATGGGTGGAGACACACAAGCACTGTGCTTCCTTATTGGTGCGGTTCTATTCTTCCCCGCATTGAATGAGGAGCGCACCAATGCGAAAGAAACAATGCTTATGAGTCCCCGCCCATCCGCTCATAGCGGAATGTGTCTGGAAACGGGTCTGCTAGCAATAGGTCAACCTGCTAGCGGAGCCGTTCCCTATAAATCGATTCATCGGATTAACACTTCCTCTATTCCATGCCCCTTTACCATCAAGAATAAGATGGAACATCATTAGAATATGCGAAAAGCAACATATCGACCAACCTTCTTCAACAAATGTCATGCTGCATGTCAAGTTGTGCAACTGAGGATTCCGTCCATCGACCGGGCCAAGTGCACCCCCCGCATCTCGCATGTCACGCATCTGAACCAATAATTATTTCTTCTCCAGTTGGAGTTTTTATTACTTTTGACTAATTGTTGCCTCCCTATTCTCACACAGGATTATTAGGGCCATCAGCAAGTTTGGGCGCAGTTTGTCGACGGGGGAGGGGGGCATTTTGTACTATCATTGCTTCCTCAGTTCCGGTTTACATGTCTCTGGCGAAACCTGTGAACTCTTGTGAAGCTGGAACAAGGTCGTCAAGCCATCATGTTAAAACCTGTCAACTCGAGAAGAGGCTGTCTAGATAGGTCGACACGTCGATGGGAAGTAGCAAAAGTGCAAAATGCCCCCCCCCTCGTCGGCATACTGCGCCGCAAGTTTGAACTGTGGAAGAAAACTATTTTTTACGTTCCGAGTTTTTTTTTGCTAGCGTACGTCCTGTAACCCGAAAGGGCAACTTACTTGGTCGATATCGTGACTTCCCATCGTCACCTCTCGTACACCGTAATCTCGATTGTAGACGAAACATAACGAGTCACCAACGTTGCATACGCACAGGACCCAGCTTTAAAAAAATATTTGAACAGCCAAAATTGAAACACAGTACTGAGGAGACATTTTAGAAAATCATTAGTCACTGCTCATACGCTCCTAGCCTTCATTTTCCCAATACGGTACTATACCCCACTTGCAGCTGTCACGATCAAGGCAGTACACCATCACAATGTGCCACAAAGGGTTTGGAGGGCAAGAAGGGGGGGGACGACGACAATAAAAGACATTTTGCTTCTTTTGAGTACCATCAGAAGTAATTTCGCACTGAACGAAATGGTGAACGAGCAACTGCTCCCTCGGACATGGTGTGCGATGTAAACTTTTATGGAGAACACCATGAGAAATATCCTCCCGCTCATCCCCCCCCCCTGCACACTAACCCAACTCCAAGAGCATAAATGACATACAATCGTGTTCACTGCAGACGCTCAGGGCACCACTGTGCCTGGCGGTAACGCCAGCCCGGTCTACACCAACTGCTGAAGCGTGAAAGCCACAAGAAATGGATGGTGGAAGATAATCTAGCGTCAAGCCTAACCCCTCGAAAGATAATCTAGCGTCAAGCCTACCCCCCACCGCCTCCGAGACGCTCCAGCATCTGAAGCAAAAACCGCTACAACTGGATGAGAACATAAGTAAAAACATGCCTCACCTGTCGCAATGTATTGCCGGTGCCACCACCGCAACGCATAATGTCGTTAACATCCCACCCTCTTGTAATATCAATGAATGAGCTGAATGGAACGACGCCAGCAATTCGTGGAACACTTCCTGAAAAGAAAAAATGTGAAAAATAGAACTTAGACGGTCATAGGTGTGACAGTCACAGTCAAATGTACTGCTGACACCGAACGCCGCACTCATTCTCATTGTACTATAGCTCTTGCAAAAAAGTGTTGATCGTGCATTGATTTCAATGCAAACGGCAAAAAAATTGGATGAGAGTCACAACAAACAGAGCTGCACAAATTTTGTTACCCCGCACAGCTCGCTTACTTCGAGTTACGTTCCCGAGCGCGATAGCCTGAGACGACTTTCCCCCTCCCCAGTAGGAGAAGCAACTCTACTCCCAAGGAATATTCCAAAAATCCTCAATAGGACTGTAAAATGACGTAATTGATTTGTTCTTTGATATTGATTGCACAGTTTTGTTGATAGCTGGGAGATATTTCATTAAATCGGGAGGAGGCGTGCTCTGAGGCAGAAAGTGAACAGTCATGGGGCGCAGGTCGGCTTGGTAGGACACAAAGTGGTACTCAGCGAAGCCTCTACAGGTCACCTTTGTTAAGTCATGTGGATTCTTGTCACAAAAGTTCACTTGTACCATTCCGCAGCTTCACAACAGTTCACAAGTTTCACCAAATTAAGACCTGTTAGTCAACAAGAGCTAGTAAAACGACAAGATGCCCTCCCAAGCTGAACAGCCTAATCTTTACCTGAATGAGTTGGATATTGGACTCAATGTTAAGGGCATTTTCAGTGTACAAATGTTCCCGTACCGAAAAAAAACTCGACAACTGTTGGAAAAGAAAAGCTCACCGTAGTATTCGTCAATTTGCCCATCTCGATGTGCTCATTCATGTGATCAATGGCCCCACGTACTGCACAACGTGCTGCCAAACGTGCGCCTTCACCCCAGTTGACGCCATCGGCAAGTGCAAGCACCTTCAACGACGATTCATTTTTTTCAGAGAAAAAATTTCACAGACAGTATCCCTCACGGCTCATGGTGTTCACTCAGTATACCCATTTCTACCTACTTATTTGGGCAGACCTTGACTGAGGGTAGAACTAGGTATGTAGGTGCAGAGAAAGTTACCACAATGTTGCCA